ACTATTAATCGAATAGTAAGATATACAAATCCTTCTGTACACCAAACTTGCGTGATATCCTACTTCGCTTTCCGCTTACCACTGTTCATGTTTCCTTATGTTGATATAATATTAAAAAATGTAATATAGTCCGATATTCGAATATTTGTGACGAATATTTATTGAAATGCAAACATACTATAGTTTCATATCACACACACACACACGCACACACGCACACACAAACTATTATAAATTATTATATATACCTATTTATTTTAAAATTATAACTATCCCAGTCACTGTAACAGGAATATCAAATTTATAAAAGTGTATATAATTTAATAGGTTCCTCAGATACAGGCTTGACCCGTATGGTGGTCATAGTTAAGCAATTCTCTAACTTACTGTACTGAATAAAGATTATTATTATTATAAAAGTGTATATGTTTATGGTAACGTCCTTCTCACTACAAGAACTGCATTCGACTGTTCCGACTGCGCTTAAGCTTTTATTACGTTTCTTTTTGATACCTAAGTACTATCTGATATAGTTACATAGTTATATTCAATAACATAACAAAAGTCTGATTTTCCTCCGTCAGTGGGTTTACTTTTCTCAGATACTAGTACACGTATTTCGCATCTAAACGACACATCATCAGACGGGTAATCGATTGAGTCTGGATAGTCTGAACTCTCCGCGTTCAGACTTTGAATTCGTATTCTGAGTGGATGGTTGATAGCAATCCTAGTTGATAGCAGAAAACTACACTGCACAAAATTTCGAAAGAGCAAGGAATAACACATACAATTCTGGATATTTTTAAAATTCCCCGAATTCGTTACTAGGATATGATGACACTTTTTTTCAAATGGGTGATAATGAAATGGTAACCCCGCCTGCGCTATCGGTATACGCTAGCGGGGCACCAGTGAGAGATGATAGGTGACGATGACAGCAGGTTAGTTAGCCCATCCTGACGAATTCCACTAGAATTAACCACGATGGTCTCCAGGTGAACCGCGTGGAGGTCGACCTGATAGGGTATATTACTAACAATAGGGTATATCAGTTAGACCCCATTACTAACAATCCCTTTCCCCCATGTTGATACCTTGGTTCTACGAGTAGACAAGAAGTATTCTAATATTTCTTCATCCCAAAGATTACGTATATACTAAAGTTCCTTATTATTGGCTAGACCATTAAGATGTCGAGAGGTAACAAATAATTTATATAATTAGTAACATTCAAGCTATAAATGATTTAAGTAAATAAACACCCTGACATTTGTCTATATTAATAATATAAATAGGAAAGATTTGAATATTTGTTTGTAATGAATAAACTCAAAAACTACACAACAGTTTTTTAAAAAATTCTTTCACCTACAGAAAGTTACATGATGAGCGAGTAATATAGGCTATATATTATATTAAAAAAATTGTTCTACACACACGAAGTAAGGCTAGATCACTATTCATACCTTTTTTAATAATTATAAGACTTCCAAAAAGTTGCTAGGTATGGATTACCTGATCCTTCATCTATATCTATGTCGATATATGTATATGATAAAAAAATGTGAGTATAAAAAAATAAATACTTACCTTTCTCACCAATATAAATGTTAAAGTGTGTTTGTTTGTTGTCTCGTGAGAGTTTAACAACCAATCTTCATTAAATTAAGCACACAAGTACTATTTGAAATGAATAAAAACAAGGGCAAATTTTTATTCCGGCCAATCAACATGCGACCATGCAATTGAAGTCATAATTTAAAATAAAACAAAACCTATTTGTAAGAAGTTTATTAAAAAGAAAGTTTAACGTAAGAGCCTATTGATTAGACGAATGAACAGTAATTTATTTTACAATGCTGCATGTGAATCACCAGGAGTTTCAGAGTTCATTAAAACAGAATGCACATATATGGACCTGGATTGATCGGTTGTCTCTCGCGAGTTCATGACTAAGCTATTGTGTCATTGTGCCGTTCTTAGCTATTTGGAAAGTATTAAGTATTCATTATTGTACAAGTATAAAAACAAGTATACTCGTAATTTATTCCGCAAATAACGACTTTAATTAGATATAATAAAATGTATATTAACTTATTATAAAAAGAATAAAATACGCTAAGCGACGATATTAAAAAAAAATATTTAAATTTAGAACATCAGATTTAAATTACTTAAATTTAGAACAAGCCGAATTGTTCTGTGCGAAAAACCATATCAGGTCTAACCGTTACAAAATTAATATGGGTAATACACTGGAGTATATATTATCTATTGTAAAAATACTCATAACTATCGAAATCATATAACATACGCTCGACGAATTGAGACGAATCATGTAATACAAACTAATTGAGAACCCCTAGTTTTGTATTTCGCTTAAAAATCTGTCAATTTTATCAATATTATTAAAATTAACTAAGTTGTATTAAATAAATGTAACTCGCAAAACTTCATGAATATTTATAATAAATCATAAAAGGCCAAACTCTTAGCAAATTTTTAAAGTTTAACTCCTAGAAATTCTGACTTATATTAAGTAGTATGATTTGGAACTTGTGCCAGATGGGAGTTCTCTGGAAAAATAATTTTATTATTTATTTGACTGTAATTGAAAGTACCCCGTATACGTTAAACATTTTTTTTTCATTACATAAATTTTAGTTCTGTCTAAACGATTCCGTATAGAATTTATGTTCATTAAAAATATATATCTTATAAGTAAGAGATTGCCCTAGCGATATACCTGCCTTTTGTATTTTTATGTATATATTTTAATCTGTTTTTTTTTTTTTATACAACTTAGAATGGCAAACAAGCTGATAGCCCACCTGATGGAGAGTGGTAACCGTCGCCTATAGACATGAGCAGTACCATGGACATAACAGAGTGTACTGTTTCGCCCATGATACTCCACATGCGTTGCCATTCTTGAGGACTCAGGTGTTATTCCTCTGTACCCTGTAAATTCCTGCCATATCCCACTCTTCATACCGAAACACAGCCATGCAAACAACTGCTTTACGGTCGAAACATGAATGGAACAGAGGTACCCAAGCAAATTTTTTACAAAGTCTCCTTCTGGTCTGTACTTTATGCTATTACTTTATATACTATAATTTCATTTGAATTTTCTAATTGTCGTTGTATATTTTTATGTTTATAGTGAATAGAGAGTTAAATAAATAAATAAATATTTTTATCTATTTGATAGATAGAAATGAAACAATATTAAAATATTTATTTGTAGTCTCAGATACTATGCGTAAAAGAATTTTTTAAAAATAAATAACATGGTATCTACTTATTTTACAGTAATTGTATGTTAAATAATACAATACCTGCTTATACTTAAACCTACCTAAAATCATCAGTAACAAACTAACAATCTTTTAAAAGACATACGTTCATGTAGTGTTCATTCCGATTTATTTAACCATTTGTAAGATGATACTGAAATAGATTAGATCCCTCTTTATCCTTGAGACAATTGTAGGCAAGTGAGAGAATCAGTATAAATGTACATTACGGTGATCAAGTTTAACTGATTTAGAATGTGTATCATGTTTCAAGATCAATGCAACTTTAAATAATTCTACATTCAAATAAATGAGATAAAATTGGACACATTAAGAAGTAAATTTTACATTAAAAATTGTACTTTCTTATCGGAACATGTTTTTATAATACCATACGCACACCTATGAATATTGGAAAACAGATTCGGTCGTAGGCGTATTTAGATGACGGGTGGTGGTGCGTGCTCATCCTAGAATCGTCGAGTGCCCACCCCAAAATGCGAGCTAAGCTTCGAGCAAAGATCTCATTAAGGGTACTTACATATGCGTCTTTTTTAAGGGGCTAGCCCTCCCCGAAAATAATCTTAATTACGCCAATGGACTCGGTAATGAGCAACTTTTTTATTTATTTTTTGATGAATCAAATAATTTTTACGTCGCATTTACTAAAATCTGGACTTAAATTACTCTAGAACAAGAACCGTGTAAATAATGAGTGCTTTATATTTTTAAATTGATTAGTACTCTCGAAAAGTTTGAAGTTCGAGTGCACTTTCGTAAAAGGAGATGTCAAGTGCTAAAATTTCAGTAACGTAAAAAAAAATATATGATAGTGCCTACCTACTTCATTTAATATATTTTCCAATTTCAGGAATGAGTATTAGATATTATATGAGTATGTTCTTTGGTGAATCTAAATGTAGCTTCTACAATATACTTTACTTCTTATGATCTAAATTATCTATCTATTCTAATTCTTGTTTGTTTTTATATAATAAATGATAAAGTCATGCATGAAACTTAAATTACGCAAGTCTATTTGAGATAATTACTTGTGATGCTTATTTTGACAAGACAGGTGTGAATTGAGTCACGATAGAATAAAGTCTTTTTCCCATTCACATTGTGAAATATTTCTTTTGTATATCGTGTATAAAGTATAATACTTTTAAATTATTTCCTTAGCTATTTTATTTCAAAAATTATATCTGTTAACCTCTATCCTGAATTACGAACTTTTAAAACATTTGATACGTCACTTCTTTATAAGCTCTTGCAAGTAAAACGTTTATTATTGGAAACTGGCCGATACAGATAATTTAAAGCTTTTAACCCTCATTATTGTTCAAAAGATTTATTATCGGTAGCTTCTATCCTTCCCATTGTTTATTTTCGTTGCCTGTTTTGTCAATACACATCTGTTTTGGTCGCGCTTCATTGTCAGTAGCTAAAATAATAGATTTATTGTACAATTCGGTTAACTTTAAGTACTTTTTATTTAACGAATGATGATTACTCCTCTTATTACATTTCAACATCGAAAGGTCGTTCATCTTTTCTTCAAATAAATCGTTCCTATATTGTCAGCTTTGTGTACATTCGTTATCATATCACCGACAGTGACACAAGGCTAGTTCGACGCCTCTCTGTAGCGACGTGCGCGCCCCCTGCTGCGTTCCCCCGCCCCGTTCCCCGGTTAGCGGCTTACTGATGCAGTCTCCACTCAACTGTTGAGGGGTTTACACGTTTTCTATCGAAAAAAAAGCTTCTCGTGTTCGAGCTTTGTCTACCTTTTATGCAATTATGTGCCATCTGTTCACCAGTAATTTTAATATTTCTTGTCTATAAATAGGTTATAATTAGTGAATCTATGCCCAATTATTCGTAGTGTATTTTATCTGAACAGTGGTTATAAAGATTTCTGTTGTGCTTATATCTATTATTCAAACTAAGTTCGTGACAGTGCCTAAATTTCGGGATGTTTTTAAGACATTAGGACCTTAGAGATTTTAAAGGTAAAAATGAATTTTCTTATTAAAATTTTAATTTGTTAGTGCACTAACCTTTCATATCGATTTATTGCTTTATTATATCAATTATCTTATTCGTTATACCCTTATTGTTCCCATTGCCTGCATGTGAATCCTTAACATTCTTGACTTAGATGTCAAATTTAAACAACAAAATCCACTGTAATCTCTGTCATGCCTAATTTTGACAGAATCAAATAAAAGGATTCCTTCAAAGTTGTTAGTGATTGATTAAGTTGAAATTTAGTTTTATGATGGTGCCGCTTGTGATGACATAAATATTTAATTATCCCACGATGCCATGAACGGAGGGTGAAATAGGATAGAAATGCAAGAAAGAGACAACATCAGTCATACAGTTTTCGAGGGGTTGCCAGCTCTGTATAGCCGGTGGTAGGGGTATGCGAGTATGCTATAGGGATTTTCGTTTGAATGTGATGTATATTACCTACCTATTATTGTAAGTAAGGAGAATTTGAAAAGGGTTTCCGCTGTTTGTTTATCATTATTGTTGCAAATTTTGCAAAAAAATAATGAATACATATAGTATTCAGTATTTTTTATTATTGGGCTGTTTTAACAATAAATGTTTTACTGTGGATTTTGTGTCTATTACAATAATTTTGTTAAGATATTTTTTTTTTATTTTCTCTTTATCGAGAATTATTATTGTTACAAAGGTAATGCATTAATATATGTTTCTTATCTGGTAGCATATCTTTATTTTAAGATTAAAGAGTTTAAAGTACCACTTCTATATCTTATTTTAAGAATTGAATATTCAATTTTCGAAATCTGTAAATTGTAAATTTTATCAAATAAAGTAATACAATTTAATCTTGGAAATTAATCTCTTATACAAATTTATGTAGATATAAGATATTACCAACAAATTGTTTTTATTAATATAGCTCTAAGTGGTTTTGATAATTAATTGCGTAAATCTGATATAATTTAATAGATAAATAGATGTTGTGGCCGATTCTAAAGCGCCATTCTCTAAGACTTAAGATTTTAATTTGATATAACATACTGTGACTTTTTTTTTATACAACTTAGAATGGCAAACAAGCTGATGGCCCACCTGATGGAAAATGGTAACTGCCGCCTATAGACCTGAGCAGTACCATGGACATAACAGAGTATACTGTTTCGCCCATGATATCCCCCATGCGTTGCCATTCCTGAGGACTCCAGTGTTATTCCTCTGTACCCTGTAAATACACGCCATATCTCACTCTTCAAACCGAAACACAGCCATGTAAACACAACTGCTTCACGGTAGAAACACGAATGGGACAGAGGTACCCAAGCAATCGACTTTTGTACAAAGTCTCCCTCTGGTATAGTGGTATATAATGGTGATATCACCATTTAAGGAATAACGAGATTTTATTCAGAACCACCTTCCTAAAAATCTACTTTAAGTAAGGTTTTTAGTGGTCCCTAACGGAATCATCATCATCATATCAACTATTATGGTCCCCTCTTAAAACATCACCAAAGGTCTAACTGCGGTTGCCAACCCGTCTGCCATGCGTGGCAAGTACTAGTAAAGACTCCCACTTGACAATCCTATGTTCAGCCGTCGACAATTAATGGCTGATATGGTATGGTATATAAACCGTCGACTGTCCACTGTTGAACATAGGCCTTCCCCATAAAGGGAATTTTGCAAGTACTTGCCACGCTTGAATAAAATACTTTCACCAAACTACCAATGAAAAATATTAATATTAGATACAGGTTAGAGAATAGTGCCCAAAAAACAGTAATATGTATTTCTAAAAAAAAATATTACGAGATTTAAGGGTATTGGATTTTAAAATAATTTTATAGAATGCATGTATCCTACCAAACTCTGAATGAAGCATTTGACCATTTGAAACATGTTGGAACTTGACCGTATCAGTATAGACGGGCTTGATATTTTTTGTGGTAGTATCGTACGTGATATATTTCGGTAAATATTAAATACGTTCTTACGTTAAATTTTAATGGTGCCAACTAATTTTTCAAAGGCAATTAAGTATACTAAGCAGCACATAGAAAGTAAGAGGTTCATCATAACTTTTGTTACTTCACTTTCTCATGAAACAATACTTTCTTTTTACACATCCGATGTGGCTGCGAGAGACTACGTGTGGAGATTGCTGCATTAATTTTCGATTATTCCTCTATTTTTAGAGCATTTCAATTCAATTTACAGTTTGGCGGCCATTAAACAAAATTATTTTGCAGTCTTATACTCGCATTTATTATGTGCCAAGCCAGTGTAATTTTTTTTTATCTATACGTATCTTTCTAGAGTTTTAGAAATCGGATTACACTAATTGAATGTCGATGTTATATCTAATCTTGATATCAAATCTATATTTGTTTTGGGGACTTAATTGTTTATTAAATTATTGGTTTTTTTATCTATTACTTTTATTTACTTGTTTTCTTAGATTTCCTTGTAATCTATGGAATTTTAATTATTATTGGCTGTATCCCGTGGCTTAATCTATGTGAATTAGTATATAAATTATTCTATGTATTAGGTTAGAATTTAATCTACCTGCGTACTAAATTTCATTCAAATCCTTTTAGTATTTTTTGCTTGAAAGAGTAACAATCATGTATCCATCCATCCATCGTCTAACAAACTCACATTTATTATATTAATAGGATTTTTAACTTTAAGTATTTATAGCTATACAGTTGACTCTTGTTAACAAATTAACTTTGTAGAGGTCACTACTCAATTTGACTACGATATCATCATGATGTATAACGGTTCTTTAATGCAGGTCACTCATATTTGATAAAAGAGGGCTAAGTTGTTAAAAAGAGTTACAAAATTTATTTCTAAACGATTGTAACCTAATTTGTCCAATGATGCTTTTATATTAGTTAAATACATTAGTGATATGGTGAAATCCGGTTGTCCCATCTACAATAGAATTAATTCGCTTTATTGTCTGGAGAGGGCGATCACTTATAGTTAATATAGAGGACAGTGAACTATACAGTCGTTCAGTTCCGATTTATAACAACGTTATCGTTTGTAAGTAAATATAACAAGATTATATGTGTATATGTTAGATCTATTACAATATTTTTCATATCATAATGTGTTTTTTTTTTAAATATTCATAATTTCTTATGTCAGTTAGAGATGTAGAACTTGTATTAAGAAAATAATATACGACCCAAAATGCATACAGTATGAATCACTGGTTCGAACTGATATTAGTCATACTGCTTGAATGTACTTGTATTAACTTAATTATGATGTAGGAAATAACAGTAAAATAATAAAAAGGAATAGGACGTAAATATTTTTTTTATTCTCTTTCCATCGCATGGTGTGGTGGAATGTTGTCAAATAGATCCTACGTTTTTTAATGGGTGATAATGGAATGGTAATGCCACCCGCGTTATCGGTATACACCGGCGGGGCACTAGTGAAGGATGATAGGTGAGGATGAAGCAGGTCAGTTAGCCCATCGTGACGAATTCAATAAGAATTGTTCACGATGGTCTCCAGGGGGAACCACGTGGAGGTCGACCTAATAGGGCATATTGCTAACAATGGGGCTGTCAAACTCCATTGCTAACAATCCCTTTCCCCCGTACAAAGAGTATTAAATACTTAATTTACAAACTAATATGGGAATTTTATTGGATATAATGACTATTGTAAATACCAAATAATATGGCATTTAAATATTATATAACTGTCATATAAGTAAATCTTTTAAATTCGAATGTATGCTACAAACATCTACCAGTAACACCCATTGACAAGTAGGTATGAGCCAGCTATCGGTGTGTTCAACCATATTTGAGTGAACTCAATGATCCACCATGTTGTCATTTTGATCAGCTGAAATTATTTTAACACTATATTTGAAATTAAAGTTTTATCTCAAAAGCATATAATGATACCTTGTTTTTCAAAATTTAAATAGGCTATTGATATATTCACATTATTAATTGCTATATACAACGTTTTCCGTTTCAATATTTTTTAATGAGTACCTAATTTTATCTCACTCGTTCCAAAAGTAACGTATGCATTTAGGTTAACGATGTTTATTCTAAATACAAATGGATCTAACTTTTCGTTTGTACATATAAATATGGTTGATTGATTACAGTTTCTTGTTTGTAGGTCACTTATTCGTGAATGAGTGCATATTACATTCTTTGTTTGTCGGCATACGTCTTCTAGTTCATGTTTTATTCATATGGCAGATTCTCAGTTCTCGAGCATATTTAAACATTCTTTTAATTACATCTAGAAAATGAACATCTAACAATCGGATTAGAGGCCGGTGACCTGTCTGCGGTTGGCTATTGAATCAGTGTTTGTCATTAATATTTATAGGTTGCGCACTCTTCCACCAAGCGCTTCGGGGAAGTAGACACCTGAAAGTGTTTGTCCATTATACCATCCGCCTACTTACTGCTTGACGTGTTAATTACAACCATAAAAGTTTCATAAATATTGTGTTTTTCCGTACATATATGGATACTTTATTCCCGGGCTGACAAATATAATGACTTTATCTTAGTACCCTCTACATATCTTTACAAAAGCTGTATGTGTTTTTGCAAATATTTGTACAAATATTTAAACATTGGATGATTTTTTTTTTTTGTTACTGTGTTAATTTTTTTTTTCATCCAAGAACCACTATTATTTGTATATTATGTGTATTTAAATTTAAAATTGAGTACGTAGTTCATGTGTATAGATTATATGATTAGTTTGTATATTAGGTACGATAACATTATTTTTTCTTTAAGTGTTTTTTTTTTTACTTCTCGAATCGAGTTGGTAGAGAATGGCAATAATGCCATTAATTTAAAATAAGTTAAGCCTGCTTTTTAATTGGTCAAGGAAATTTACATAATTAAATAAATATTTGTACATTGGTACAAGCTGTCGGCGCTATTAAACACTTTCTGCAGACAGTAATGTCTGCATATTATAT